CATTTCAGCAACAGAAATGGCATTTAAAACTAAAACAAAAACCAACCAAACAGAAAAACTCTGATAAGCACCTAGGCAGCCTTTCCAGTTAATTCCAATTACAAGCATGGGAAGGAGACACTTTTACTTCTCATGTCCATGGATAGCTACCGGACTGAGGACTCGGAAGACTTTTAATCCCTTCACTGTTATTGCCTTTCTGGGTGAATGTGGGCATCTACTTCTCAATTCCTCAAAGAGAAGAAGGAATATTGACCTTTATCTAAAGCGCTTGCAGATTTTCTAATGTATGACATACTTGTTACTGTTATTTCTCTTATGACTGGTGGGCACCATGACATTCACAGCTCCATTAATGACTAACTTCATGAACCGCAACTTAAAGACTTAGTCTTTCCAATAGAAAAACGTCTTCAATAGTACCCTGTAACCATGATGTAAAAATACATAACTCAACAGTTCAACAAGTATGTAAAATAGTGTACCTCTTCTCCACACCATTTCCCATAACTCATCATCAACTTGTTATTGAGATATTATATCAATTCATAACAAACTGGCTTTATGCAATGGTGGCACAGTTGCATGACTAGCTTCACATTGACAAAATGGAAATATGAAAGGATGCTTTTAAAAAAGTATAATGTTTTAAATCAAGATCTTAAGAAGGAGCACTGAAGAGAAAAAACACAGTATGGAAGATCTTTAGGACTATCAAAGAAAAACTCACTCAAATCCATGTTTTATTTTTTTCCTGACAATGTTAGGGATTTTTTTTAAGACAGCAGAAAATTAAACTTGTTTCATTAACCTAATTATAGCTGTAAAATATTTTCAGTGGAAATAAAGGCTTTTCTTGCTAAACGTTGTGATGTCCTGACTGATTTAGTGAGTTCTGCTACTTAGCCCACAAAAGGATTTCTTAGGACAGCTCAATAGGTTTTCTCATGTAGAGCTGGGCTAATGGCTAAGACCCTTAGATGGTGCCTTTGGCACAGGTCCAATCGCACTGATTTCATCTATCATCAACTCAGGAAAGAGGACTTGAACTCAGAACCCATACTACCAATCATCCAAACACACAAACATTGGCCATGCTAATTCACAGGAGTGTTACAACAAGGCTAAATATCAACAGAATTTTCCTACTCAATCTCAATTCTACTGATTAAAATGTAGCTGCATTCCCAACTCAAGTGCAACATTTATATGTTCCACATGTAAGAAAGCTAAAGACATACTTTATTACTACCTGAATTATCTAACTCAAAAAAATATAACCACAGCTTTCATGTTATTAGTTTGTTTTTCAATCAGAACTTGCAGGTTGTTATATTGGTCTGTATTTCATATTTTTCAAAATGTAAGTTCATCAACATCCTCTTGAATACTCTGTGCCATTCTGTTTAACATTTTATGTGCTTACAGAAAAGCCTGTAATGTCATAAATCCAAAGCTCTCTTTAAAACTGCAGTGTAGCCATGACTAAAAAAATCTGCAAAACTGACACTTTTACTGTGCTATGTCTGTATTGATGCACCACTGGAAAAGCAGCCATCTTTTTAATTGTCACTATACCTTTTTTAGAAACCAAAAAAAAAATTTTAGTATCGATCTTCAAAACAAAAAAAAAAGTATCTATTTTGTTTAAAAGCTTCCATCCAATGAAATCTGAACCACTTTTTTAGGCTACAACTTTGATTTTTTTAAAAAAAATATATATTCAGGGATTATAAATATCAAAAGATTAAAAATAATTTTTGCAGCTGCTGAATACTCTGTAGATAAAAGGAATCAGGATTTTGCATATTTATCTGACTTGTCCTAATACAATAGACACTATCATGATTTTGAGCTTTGTACTTGTTTATCATTAGTGTTTCCACTGTAACCATGGCATCAGTATATAGCACAGGCTTAACAGTGAGAAAAATACCCAGTATTTTCCTAAAAAACTCATCTCTTCGAAAAAATACAGGGATTTGCACAATGGCAAAACCCAATCAAAGTAGGTGAGCTGGTTAAAGAGAGAAACATTTTCTTTTTAGGGGCAAAGAAACAAACCATTATTTCTTTGCAAGTCTTTTTGCATTTTGGATTTCTGACAAGAACCTAGAAATATATTACAGGACAAGTAACATAACCTTGACCCTAGTACAGATATTATAACACAAATATTGAATTTTTTCCTTACAAAAATACATACTGTATTATAAGAGATCGAAAACATTAAAGCTATTAATATATTGACAAGACCTGTTCTCAGCACATGAGCATTTTCTCATACCTATTTAAATAGTGACAGTCCAGTCCTGCAAGAACTGTTGCATCATTCTGAAGGTAAAGAGGGGCACCGAACACACTGCACAAGTATGTGGTACCCAGATCAAACTTTCAGGACTGTTTAAAGGGAAACCCTCAGAATGGCATAAAGAGATTTATGGTCTCCAAGAGTGTTTCTTGGGTTGCATTTATTTGATATTTCAGGCAGTAAGGGGAATGGGTTCATGTGATTGCTGCTTTCCATTTGCTTATAATAAAGTTAGGAAAGAGTACTACAAAAATATCTGCCTTTAATGCCAAGAGTGAATTGAAGGAATTAGTCCTCTTCTTAAACAGACGAAATTGACTGTATCGTACCAGCAGATCTTAGCCTAACATTGGTTTAGGCCATGTGCGTTTTCCTGTGAAACCCATTCATTTCATAGGCGACTTCATTTTTTCAGGTTTTAATATTGACTCCAGACACTGATGAAGATACCCATAAATCTATTTACTTCACTATGGACTCTATAGAGATGTCATGGCCACAGGCCTTATTTAAACTCAGTGAAGTCAGACAAAAAAACAGGGTGATTTTGTAAGAGCCTGTTCTCTGAAGGTCCCTATCTATTAACAATCCAATAAACACACTCAGTATTATAATTATAGTGACACACTCAGTAAATGGGAAGATTTTGGAAAGGGTAAAGCACAAGGGTAAATCCTCTAAATACTTTCCTCCTCACCAATTCTAACTGTGATACAGGGAGGGTGGTGTACACTGTGTATTATAGGTACCACACAAACACAGTCCAAACTATGAGGATTTACTGCACAAAAACTAGGTAAGTGATGCTTGAGAAGCTGCATTATATTGAGCTGACCAGTTATGATCCACTGCCATGTCCTCAATCCTGTCACATCAACAGATAACAAGCGTAGTCACTCCTTCGTCTCCTCCCACCCAGTGAATGCTGGACAGCAATGAATCCTGGTGCAATAAAACACAGCATTTATCTGATTCAGCTATGTAGTTCCTCCCAGATCATGTTTACAATGGGCCTCAATCTGTTAAATTCCATTATTTATCTAGGGAACGTGTTCAGATGTTGGAGTTCACCTTAAAAATCAAAGCCAGGACGTACCCCAGCACACCAGCCCCACCAAAATTCAAACTTGGCATCTGCAACCTGCAAGGTCCTTCCAGATTCGGCGACAAACTCACAACACGTACCATACATAAAAAGAACATATAAAATTATTATTCTTTCACTAAAAATCTGTGATGACGTTCTTGTCCCACTGGTCTCAAGAAATCCCGCTTGATTTCAGGAAAGCCACAACTTGATTATCATTCAATCCAGGTAAAAGACATCTGCAATACTGCTGCATTTGTCTTTTCCTGATTTGGCTGTTTTTCCTCTGCCTATCACTCAGTTTTACCACCCGAGCTTACTAATGTGTAGCTTTTATATGGCATCAGAAACATCTAGATCCTAAATATCACAATGTAACATATTGAAGCAGAAGTAAAAAATATTTTAAAGTTGTAAACATAAAAGTTTTAACAGTAAAGTTATTCAGCTCCTAATCAGCATAAATAGAGCCTAATTCTTTCACGCCTTTCCATCATTCTGACATCTCTTTATACCACTCCATTAAGTAAAGAAGCCCCAAGAATACATGAAACAGAGCTATTAACTCTCACTGTTTTTACTTTGGTCCTGGGTTCTTTGCCTGTTTGCCAAATAAATATTGCCCTGATTAGTATCCTTGACCATAACAAATAAATACACAAAAAGATGAGCATACACATTTCAGATGGCTGGTCACATTTCAGATGGCAGGGCACATTTAAAATGAGAAGACAGCTACTTTTGTTTTATTATACTCCTTATTTAAAGGATATACCATTTAACTGTTTAACTGCAGAAACGTGAAATGTGCATATTCACGTTTCCTGTGTTTCTTTCTTTTGTTTGTTTGATTCTTCCGTGTTAAATCACAGTACCTGAGGATGTCAGACCAAGGATTTTCCAGCTTTTTTGTACTCCCACTGAGGCATGTTAGCCCCTGGGTCTGTAAGACGCTGTAGAAGCTGTTGGATACATTGTGTATACAGGCAACAGAATTTGTCTGGTTGGGGCCAAAATCTACCAGGACCCTTTTATTAGTTTCAGGTATTTAAAGAAGCTCTATGCATAAAGGTGTAGATCATCTTGGGGAAGGAAGGAGGAGCATCAGTGTTGATGCAGTGAGCTTTCAAGTGATACGAAGACCCTGAAGTGCCTCATATCAGAGGTCAGGTCTGGATTTTTGAGGCTCATCATCGCCAGACTGACCAAGAACGTTCACATCGAAATTATGAACTTGGTCTAAGTGCTGGATCTGGGTTTTGCGGTAATGTTGTGTTTGGATGCATTTGGTTAGGGTTTTTCAAACACAATAAGATAACTAGACTTGCATTTATGTAACATAATTTCAGAAACTGAAGTGGTAATTATGCATCTCTTACTTAGATGCAGCATATTTTTCTTTCCTCCCTTGCCTGTAGAACACATGCATTAGATACACAGTAACCATGACTATCTCAGTATAACAAAGCGTGGAAATAATGAAAAGCCTTCAGAGCCATTACATGCCCTTGGCAACCTAGCTCTGCAAGACAGATGTTGCATCCAGAGCCATGCCACTGAAAATGATATGTACATGTATGTATCTACAGCGCGAACACTCACCCAGTCCTCGAAGTGGCGGCTCCCGTTCTGCAGCAAGTCCTCAAACTGTATAGTGCAGTTAGCTACAAAATCGTCGTACCCGATGGGGGCATCATGGAAAACAGCCATCTCTATCTTCCTGCCATTACAAACGTCGGTGACAAATTCATCGTTCCAAGCAGGACTGTTGGTCTTTTGCTTCGTTGAGGTCTGCCCGATCCTGGAGTCGTCCACATTGAGGGCTATGTAAGGGTCCAGCAAAAAGGTCTGTGGCCTGGGACCCACCGCATGCCTCAGAGACCACGCCGTGGGCTTCAGATTCACCGCCTCGCAGATCTTGATTTTCAGCAAGCCATTGAAAACCACCATGGCTGGATGGCTGCACTTTTCCCGGGATTAAACACTCGCACAACGCACTCGCACCAAGAGGGAGGGAGGAAGGTCTCGCCAATAAATAGGAGGGCAGGTCTGGGAGCGGGGGAGCAGGATACAGTGCGGGTGTCTTCGCCTTGCTGCTGCTGCCGCTGTTACCTTTGATTATTTAGCCTTTGCTCTTGCGACACCCAGTGAATACATTTATTTTCTTGCCCGTGTTTCTAACGGAAAACAAGGGAGGGGGGCCGCCGGGGAGGGGGAGGCGTCCGCGGCTGCAGAAACCCCCGAATGCAATCAAAACCCGAGCATAATCAATCCCTGGGGCGAGCAAGAGCCTTCTCCCTTCACCTAGACCATAATCCTGGATCAGCCTTGGCAGAGGAGGCAGAGCCGCGATCCCAGGCTCCCGCACACGCCAGTCCTGCCCGTGCGCCGCACAACAATACACACACACACACACGCACACACACACACAAATCAGAAACATCGGCCGACCCACCAGCCCTGCCTACTGCACAGCCTCCGCTCAGCAAACATCCA